AGAACAGATTCATTTTGAAGAAATAACTTATGCACAGTAGTTGGAGGGTGACAGTGTAGAATGAAGAGATTAGCAGAGATAATAAAAAGGCCCTCTGAGGCAGAAGGGACTATTGTAATAGTCCTAACAGAGCAGTCTTTCCTCTAGAGCCCATCCTCAGCACTGCCAAAAGAACACAAACTGATCAGGTCAGTCTCCTCCTCTCAGTTTTTCAAAAGCTTCCCTACCTATGCTACAGCCACAAGAATAAAACTGCTCAAGGCTACAAAGACAGATGACTGAGTAGTTAACAGAACTCCTGCCTCCTACTGAACAGGTTACACCTCATGAAATCCCAACACCTGAGAGGTGATGGAGCCAAGGGGATCATAAATTCTAACCCAATGTGGGCTATATAGCACTGTTTTACACACACACACACACACACACACACACACACACACACACACACACACAAACTGCTTATACAACTTAAGAAGACTCTTTTTAGCCAGGCAGTGGTGGCCCATGCCTTTAATCCCAGCACTCAGGAGGCTGAGCCAGGTGGATCTCTGTGAGTTCGAGGCCAGCCTGGTCTACAGAGAGTTCCAGAAAACCAGGGCAGTTACAGAAAGAAGGTTCTTCTGAGGTTCACCTTGAGCCTAAGGTTAGTCTGGGGTAGAGAGAAGCCCTATCTTAACCTAAAAAAAAAGACAAGAGGGTTTGAATAGTTCAGCAGGACCTGACCTTTGATCCCTGGAGCCCACCTAAACTCAGATGAGGTCGCATGTAATCCTAGCACTCCTACAGTGGAGGCAGACACAGAAAAGTCCTCAGAAGCTGGGAGGCCAACTTGCCTGGCATAGGCAGCATGAAACAAGAGATCCTGTTTCAAACACAGTGGTAGGTAAAAATGGGCACTAGAGATTGCCTTCTAACTTCCACAAATGCGCATGCCTGCATTCATACAAAGGAACACACAAAGATTAAAGAACAAATAACAAGAACCCCACCCTCAACACTACTCCAATTTACTTTTATAGCCACAGTTTCACTAACTTTCCGAACCATCAGCAACATCAATGTTGACATACTTCATGTTTCAATAACGCAAATACTTCACTGTTCTCAACACTATGACACTATTATATACCTTCTGGTTCTCTCCACCTTTTATCATGATTAGTTATAAATCTGGTTGTTATACTTCAAGACATTCTCAACTACAATTCAGTCTTTCCAACTGAGTCAGAAGGACTACATTGCCACCAACTTTTCAGAAATTTGCACTTGATAAGGACTTACGTATCAATGCAGATGTTTTAACCCTTCATACTTCAAAGTTTGTTCCTTTCCTCTGAACTAAAGTCCCAATTTCTCTTTATAAAAATGGAAAGAACTTTGGTTTTTTGAGACAGGGTCTTTCCATGTCACCTTGGCTGTCCTGGAACTCACTATGTAGACCAAGCTAGCCTGGAATTCACAGAGATCCACATGTCTCTGCTTCCCAAGTGCTGGACTAGAGACATGCACCACAATGCCAGGTTTCCAAAGAGTTGGCTTTTTTTTTTGGGGGGGGGGGGGGCACAGAGGAAGTTCAAATCAGGTTTTTTCTGTGTTTAGCCCAAGTTGTCCTGGAACTTAATTCTGTAGACCAGGCTGGCCTCAAACTCACATAGATCTGCCTGCCCCTGCCTCCCAAGTACTGGGATTAAAGGTGTACACCACCATGAGTTCAAGGCCAGCCTGGTCTACAAAGTGAGTTCCAGGACAGCCTCCAAAGCTACACAGAGAAACCTTGTCTGGGGGGTGGGGGTGGGAAGGACCACCACTCCCCAGTGGAAAGTGTTTTTCTTTTTCTTTTTCAGCTGATAATGTGGCACCTACCTTTAAGCCCAGCACTGGGAGACGGAGGCAGGCAGATCTCAGTGAGTTCTAGGCCAGCCTAATCTACATATCAAATTCTAAGCCAGCAAAAGCTACATAGTCCCTGTTTCAAAGACAAATGAAATAAAATAAAAACTCTAAGTCAATCCAAAAAGTTAGACTACTTAATCAAGATCAACATTAGAGTCTAACATTGTCTTCAAAGCCAGAATTTATATGGGTTCTTAACCAGAGGTCTACGGACTCCTCAGGGCTACCAGGTAATTTTATGGAGCCCCTTACATTGCATGCAAAGTACTGTACATGCCTGTTTCTGGGGAGAAGGTCCGTACCTTTCATCAGAGTTTCAAAGATATCTGTGACCTCCAAAAGTTTAAGGAGTGCTCTAGAGAAAAAGCAAAGACAAGCAAATGTGATTAAAGAGTGAGTCCTGCTAGGCCTCAGGAGCGCCTCATGTGCTCTGCAGACTACAGCACCTGAAATCAGGTCAGAAGACATTAGATGGATGTATTCAACCAAATGCAAGTTTATTGAAGTAACAAATATTAGTATGCTGGAAGGAAGAACTCCTTAAGCAAATATAATATCCATAAAGGAAAGTCATAGAACAACTAGTGACTTACTCCAAGATTTAAAAAGGGGAATGAACAAGAAAATATATCACACTAATTTTTAATCTCTTTCACCTAAAAATTAATTTTCTGTGTATATTTTATAATATGTATAACAGTACAGAACTACATAACTTATACAGATAAATAAAATGGAGGTAGTTGCTAAATTTTTCTTACTTGTTCAAGTAATCATTAGGAAACCACTGATAATTCATTTCAGCACCATCAATTAACAGTAACTAAAATAACATGAAATCCACTAATGAGGTTGAGAGTACAATAGTTAAGAAACATATTTGCTGTCAAAAGGTCATATCACCTGAACAGATTAAATTATAGGGACTTTTTCTTCTTTTTCTTTCTTTTTTTTTTTTTTTAAGATTTTATTTATTATAAATACAGTGTTCTGTGTGCATGCTTTGCAAGCCAGAAGAGGACACCAGATCTCATTACAGATGGTTGTGAGCCACCATGTGGTTGCTGGGAATTGAACTCAGGACCTCTGGAAGAGCAGCCAGTGCTCTTAACCTATGAGCCATCTCTCCAGCCCACAGGGACTTTTTCTACACACACTTCACACTTACACTTTTTAAGAAGGACAAAAAAATCTCAACAATTATTAAGGTTTTTTTCAAGATTAAAAATGATTCCCCCCCTCTCTCTCTCTCTTTCTCTGTGTGTGTGTGTGTGTGTGTGTGTGTGTGTGACACACACAGGAGCAGGTGCCTAAGGACACATGAAGAGAGGATCAGTTCTCTTGGAGCCGGTGTCCAGGTGGTTGTGAGCCACTTGACTTGGGTGCTGGAAACCAAACGCAGGTCCTCCAGAAGAGCCAGTGCTCCTAACCACTTCTCCAGACCCAATCACCACCAACTTTTAAGAAAAAAAGAAGTTTTCAGGGCTGGAGAAATGGCTCAACAGTTCAAGAGCACTGGCTGTTCTTTCAGAGGACCCGGGTTAAATTCCCAGGGCACACGGAGCCTAACAACTGTCTGTAATTCTGCAGGCACACAGACATACATACAAGCAAAATGCCCGTACACATAATCTTTTTGAAAAATTATCTCAATACAATAATTAAAATAAAACAACAAAACAAAACAAACCAGGCATGATGGTGAATGCCTTTAATCTCAACACTTGGGAGGCAGAGATAGGAGGATCTTTGTGAACTCCAGGCCAGCTAGAGCTACATAGTGAGATCCTGTTTCAATAAATAAATAAATAGAACAGTTTTTAATTTTTACTGAGTAAGTTTGATTTGTACCAGGTTTCCAGGATAAGGTGACCAAAACAACTAACGGCAAAGCTACTTGTGAAAACACAAACAATAATCAACATGGTTTCTTAATTCTTCCTAAAAAGAATCACTGTCCTAACAGAACAATCATCGAAGTGTAAGTCTAAGAAAAGTATGATTACCAAAATTTAAACTCAAAACAGGACCTGTGGTTCGGAATGTCACCAAGAAGTGGCACCAAGGAAAGATGGCTCAGCGGTTAAGCGCATTTACTGCGCCAGGCGGCGGGGGCACACGCCTTTAGGCAGGGGCCAGCCTGGGCTACAGAGCGAGATCCAGGACAGGCACCAAAACTACACGGAGAAACCCTGTCTCGAAAAACAAAACAACAACAACAAAGAGAAATAGCTCTTGTAGAGGAGCCCAATTCTCTTCTCAGCGCCCACATCAGGCTGCTTACAACTGCCTGTAACTCCAGCTCCAGGAGATCCAACCCCCTCTTCCAACCTCCTCGGGCATACAGTCACACAGACACAGACACGTCAATAACAAACACAGATTAAACAAAATAATAACAGCACCAAAAGACCCAGGGTCCTTCCCAATGACAGAGAGGACAAGCAAAATCCTAATGTTTTCTAACGTGCTTCATCTATTTCCAAGATACTACAGCTACACCTCCTCTCTAGGGAGGGCGGCCGGCTGAGAACCTCCGGAGAAAACTCACTTTTCGGGCTAACGTGGTCGTCACTCCACACTCTCGAGCTGCCTCTCCCCCCGACTTCCTATCTGAAGGCCTCTCTGGTTTCAGACTTGGAGGCCGGGGGCGTCACCCCGCTAGTTAAGGAGGATGGGGACACGCTCGGGAAAACGCACGCCAACGAGGGGTCTCAGCTTCGGGGCTGGAGGACACAGCACACCATGAGCAGAAAAACCTAACTCGGGGTCCGCGTGGGCCACGGGCGAAGGACCACTGACGTAATGCGGGTCTAATGAGAAAAGAGGGGCGCACACGCCCGCGGGCGCTCCACAGCCGAGCGGGGAGGGGGACGGACAACAAGGCAACGGGCAGAGAGCCGAAACAACGGGTAAGGACAGCGCTCCAGCCCTGAGGAGAACGGGGTTGCGAGGCGGGCCTAGGGAAGGAGGCACAGGACTGCACCGGGCGCCGGGAAGGAATGTAAGCGCCCAGTCGGGAGCCGCGCGGGCGGCGGGCGGCGCAGGACGCCGTGCAGACCTCGGCCTCCAGGAAGCCGCACCCCGGCCTCCCGGTAACGTACCTTCAGCTTGTGCAGCTCCACCGTCTCGGCCGCCATCTTGCTGTGCTTACCCCAGACCCGGCGCGGCCCCGCCAGGAGCCCAGGCCGTCCAGCCAATCGCCGTCGCTCTTACTCCACCCCACACCAACGGCTCTCCCCATTAGTCAAGGGCGGCGTCGCTCTCACGCCTCTCGGCCGCTTCGCACGGCCCCCCGAGAAGGCGGACCCGGCGGAGGGCGGGGCTTGCGCGGCCTAACACGCTGGAAAAGGCGGCCAACCGCAGGTCCGCACCGCAGAGCCGACCAATGGCGGGGGCGGCGCCGGCTCCGCCCCACCAATAGGAGAGCGCGGACGGGCGAAGGGCGGCCACTTCCTGGAGACCCAGGTGTGGAGCCCTGGCCGCGCCCCCGCCGGACGGGCTTCCGAAGCTGGCAGGTAGGGGCTGCGCGGCTTGAGAAGGCTTCCGAGCGGCACTGGTGGGGGAACCGGGAGGGGCGGCGGAGATGCGAGTCCCCGTGAAGACGTGCCAAAGTGGGGCTCTGGGAGGAGCCTAGGCGGACTCGGCCCTTGATTCGGGGACTGTGGGGACAGGCAAGAGCAGGTTAAGAAATAGGCGTTTGCGTTAGCAGGAGTGTGAACGCCAAGAGCCCTGGAAGGGTGAGGGCTCCATTTCTTGAGGGGCTGAGCTCAGGTCCCTTCCTAGACTAAGTAAAAAACCGCGTAAGTTCTTGGAGCCGAAGCTACTGGCTGTTGACAGCCATAAGGGTGAGAGACGGAACAGGCGAGCCCCAGAAAAAGATGGGGACGGAAGTAGCTTTATCCTGGATGCCTTCTTACTGGCCCCTTGATTAACTGCGTAGCTTTCTTGTGGAACTCTGGGTGTGGGTGACCTCTTTATGACTCAATAACTTCCTCAAGAAGGTAAATTAAAATACTCCCAACTCCCCTGATGCTTCAAGTGAACGTCACAGTCTAAGCTTACTGTTTCATGTTACAGTTGAAGTGTACAGATGGGAGTAAAAATCACCATGTTTCTATCGTAGGAAGGACCTTTTTTTCTTTCTTAAAAACCAAACAAACCACTTGTGTGGGTATGCACGAACGACGGCAGGTATGGAAGTCGGGACAGCTTGCAGGAGTCTCTGCTTCCACTGTGGGTCCGGGGGATCCACCTCAGGTCTTTAAGCTTGGTGGCAAATGCCTTTCTTTTCCAGCTTAGCCCTCTTGCTTTCTTGTTTGTTTTGGAGAAATGATCTCACGACTGTCCTCATGCCTCAAACACCTCCCAAGTACGGGGATGACAAGCATGAGCCACCACACCCAGCTGCTTCCGTCTTCTCGAGTTTTAACAGTCTTCAGTTTTCCCTTTTTTGCATGCTAGGGGAATTCTTTCATTCCCAAGAGTTGAGGGGATCTGGGCTTTTCAGGAGACAGCTGGGGAACAAGCTCAATCAGGGTTAAGAGGAGACTGAGTTCAACTCCTGCCTGACCCTCACTGTGGTAGGATGAATGTGGGGGTGGCACACAGCGAAGTGAACCCCAACACTCGAGTGATGAATAGTCGGGGCATCTGGCTGGCCTACATCATCTTGGTAGGACTGCTGCATGTGGTTCTGCTCAGCATCCCTTTCTTCAGCATTCCTGTTGTCTGGACCCTGACCAACGTCATCCATAACCTGGTGAGCACTGAACCACACCCTTGTACCCAACCCAGGTCTATCCCAACCAAAACAAAGTAAAGTCACCAACTGTTTGGGAATTTATGTCTTCCTTTTGGGATCTTAGCATAATTCTTGATCCGAAGGACTACTTTCTAGCCCTCATTCTGTCCCTTTCCTTCCCAGGCAATGTACATCTTCCTACATACAGTGAAAGGGACACCCTTCGAGACCCCTGACCAAGGAAAGGCTCGGCTGTTGACACACTGGGAGCAGATGGACTATGGGCTACAGTTTACCTCCTCCCGGAAGTTCCTCAGCATCTCTCCTATTGTACTGTGAGTCTGGGGCTAGAGGAGATGCTGGTCACAAGCGGCCTACGGCCAGGGAAGATGAGCTAGGGTGGGGAAATGGCTCAGTCAGTCACGTGCTCACCACACAGGCATGACGACCTGAGTTCAGTCCCAGCACACACGTAAAAGCCAGATGGGGCCACACAGAACCACGGGTGCCTAGAAGTGCAGCACTGACGAGCTGGTGGCAGGGAGATCCCTAGGGCTTGCTAGGCAGCTAGCTTAGCCAAAGTACTGCACTTCAGAGTCAGTAAGAAACCCCACCTTAAAACAAAGGTGGAGGAGAGCCATCGAGGAAAAACATGTTGACCTCCGATCTCCAAGCATGAACATGTACCTACATATACAAACACACACACACAGAGTGTGTATGGACTAGTATACTAGTCCTAAGCCTACAGAGTATTATAAAGTACAAGGTAATAGTCAAGCATTCCCTGCTGGTTCCATGGTAATAAGGAAAGGGAGAAGGGACTGAAAATAAACCAAACTCCTGTCTAAATCCAAGTGATTTTACAATCACAAAAGAAGCAAATAGGTAAAGGCAGAATTGATATTAATGGTTAAAAGGTAAAACTGATTTGGGGAAAGGAAGCAAAGGGGATCCAAAAGTCATACAGGTGCTGGGGGGTGGTGGTGGTGGTGGTGGTGGTAGTGGTGGTGGTGGTGGTGGTAGTAGTAGTGGTGGTACACGCCTTTAATCCCAGCACTTGGGAGGCAGAGGCAGGCAGATCTCTATAAATTAGAGGCCAGCCTGCCAGTCTATAGAGCAAGTTCCAGGACAGCCAGAGCTACATAGAGAAACCCTGTCTCAGAAAAAAAAAAAAGTCATACAGGCTGAAACAGCTTTGGCTGTCATTTGCAATTTATCATTAACAATTAGCAAACAGGAGTTGGGGATTTGGCTCAGTGGTAGAACGCTTGCCTAGCAAGCACAAGGCCCTGGGATTAGTCCTCGGATTAATCCCTGGGATTAGCAAACAATATGATTTATAATGTCTAGTTTTATCCTAAACCTCATATTAAATACTGTTGATTTAGTTAAAGTAGTTTTGGACTGCAAAGGACTATATGCAATAAAACTAGTAATTCAAAATAGAAAAAAACAATCACTGGAAAGGCATGAATGTGGGTGTGGAAGGCCAACCTTGGTCATCCTATTTTCTTCTCCCTAGCTACCTGCTGGCCAGCTTCTACACCAAGTATGATGCTGCTCATTTCCTCATCAACACTGCCTCACTGCTCAGCGTACTGCTGCCTAAGCTACCCCAATTCCACGGGGTTCGTCTCTTTGGAATCAACAAATACTAAAAGATGGGTTGAGAGTTCTGCAGGCATTGAGGGAAGGCACTGGAACAAAGAGATAATGGTTTCTGTTTCTTCTGTATCTTGGAAGCCTGAGAGATAAGACAAACCCTTCTAAACTCCAAGGAGGAAGAAATTGAAAAATGGGGTTCCTGGGCCCAGCCTTAATAGGGTCAGGATTCTCTGACTCAGGGAAGGTGGATGAGGTTAAGGGCCACACCATTCTTCTCTGTACAGCACGAAGCCATCCAGGCAGCTTGTCTGGTGATTATGTTTTCCATGTCTTCCAAACCTACCACCTTCAAGTTCTGTTTGCTGTATATTTTCCTTAAAATAAAGTCTTTTCAGTTGTGACTGAAATTTGATAAGCAAGAAGAACAGAGAGATGTTCTCATAATGCTGGGGAGGAAATACGGAATCCTGACTTACTATAAAAAATTTAAGCAAATTTTTATCACTACTCCTTTGATCCAATATGGGGTACCCTTCACTCTCAGCTAACAGCAAGGAAAGAATCCTCAAAAAAGAAAAAAGTGCTCCTGAGCTGGTGTGGTGGCACAGGCCAGCCCTCAGGAGGCAGAAGCAGAAGAATCACTGCAAGCTGGAGGCCAGCCTGGGCTACATAGTAAGACTGTCTCCAAAAGAAAACAGAAAAGGACTCACAGCTACATGGGCAAAGAAAAGAAGGAAGATATAAGTTGCCAGTTATATATTTATAGAAAGATAATCCCCTGGCTTTAAATAGATATGTACATACAAATATGAACAAACTTAAAAAAATACAAACCCTTGGCTCACAAGGGGGCCTCTGGGAACCCCTCTGTACTTCCCCCTCACCCAAGGGCACAGGGCATAAGTCTGCTTTTTAAAAATTAATTAATTTTGGCCATCCTTGCAACAACAAGCCTGAAGTTAGGTGGTTTCCCATAAAGTGAAAAGTCAGAGGAAAAATTCAGTTTCCACTCTGAATTCTGTATCTCCAAAATTAGGGCTACATGCTTATTCTTTTAGCTAGTACATCAGGGTAAAGGGGGTTAAGAAATAAGATACACTCATTTAAAATGGGGTGTGTTTCACTTGCTCTGAGAGCAAATGATAAGATAAAGGCATACAGACCCCAGAGAAATCCCCAGTTCCCACACCTTAGGAACAGACTGACTGGACTAGGTCCAGACCCTAAGCTCGTTGCTCTAGCCACCTCCTATTTCTTTGGTATTGTCAGAAGACAAGATTCAGTTCCTAGGTGTTGGGGAAGGGAGGGAATAGGTCATGGACTTCCTCTAAGTACTGAGTGAACAATTTAAATTTTTCCCTTTTTAAAGTATTTAAAAATAAACAAATCAAATTCCATCCTGTGCTGTACACAGCCCTTTTGACTCCCTGACATTGATTTGAGGAAGGAAGAGAAGGGTGTCAACGTTGGAAGGGCCGCCTCACTTTCTTCCGCCGTTTAGGTTTGGCTTCTCCCTTGGGTACTGTACTGCTGGGCTTGGAGGTCGGAGTGGCCCCAGGGCCAGGGTGAGGCGCTGCAAAGAAGTTCCCATTTGACATCTGCCCTGGGGGTGCTTGAAAGATCCGGCTCAAGAAATCCTGCAGGTCAGCAGGAGGGGCCTCTGGAGTGGCTCTGAGGGAGAAAAAATATAATGAGGCAGGAGACATTACAGTCAGCTACCGAAATTAACCACACAGAGGGTCAGTTCCCAACCCTCCTAAAGAGCTGGGCATCTGAAACCATACTCACAAATGAAACAGTGGTTAAGAGAGAGAAGTGACACCTACCTCTGCCGACCACTGGTGCCAGGAACCCGAGAACCAAATGAGATGTGGTAAGGAACTCTGTGGGTATCTGGAGAGATTCCCA